ATGAATAGCCTAGCCATGATTTTTTTTTTATACAACTTAGAATGGCAAACAAGCTGACAGCCCACCTGATAGAAGGTGTTAACCGTCGGGGCGTCGGCTATAGCATGTTATGTACATGAGCAGTATCATGTACATAACAGAGTATACTGTTTCGCCCATAATACATCCCATGCGAAGCATTCCTGAGGACTCAGGTGTTATTCCTCTGTACCCTGTAAATTCACGCCATATCCCACCCTTCAAACCGAAACACAGCCATGCAAACAATATTAAGCGTAAATGTACTGGGTACGGAGGAATAGCACTTTATTAACACTATAAATACTTTAGTAACACTAATAATGTATAAAAATATAACAAAGGTAAGTAACTGTATAAAGGCAAACTTAACTCTAAAAGAGTTTTTATTATACATATGTAAGATATTAAAATTTAACCATTATCTGATGTAATTGGAGTTTATACTAAAAGTAATTAAATTTGGTCTATACGCCGAGAAAGCAATAACTAGATAATATTTGTTTTACTAAGACAAACAGACTGTATTTGTACGGAGGCAGCCTGCAATATTAACATAACCGTGTTGTTGTTTATGAACTATTTTCATAAAAACACATGACCCTTATTTAATATGAACAACTTTGGCGGCGCATTTGCAGGCTGGCTGATTTGTGTATATATTTTTTATGCCTACAGTTATAGGCGTACATTTTTTTTAGTTTCAACAGTGAAATATGGTTATAAGTTTTCTGGATTACGTTATCTTTATATAGAGGGGGATTTTCTAAAAAAAAAAAAAAAACAATTTTAATAGTTCTGTCCTATCCGTATTTTTGCCACTAAGCAACTCTGGTTTTATGGTTGTCTTTCGACTTGAAAGGCGAGATATGTTAGTCAAATTACGTGATTACACCCTAACTCCAGGAAAGGCTAAGTATTAAGAGTTCTCATAGTATCTGTGCTTGTTGCATGGCCGTATTTCAGTTGGAACGATGGGATATTGTAGTGAAATTAAAGGATACGTAGGCATAATACTTAAGTCCTTAGGAAAGGTAATGAATCAAGGATATTATGGGTATCGGAGTATATGTGATATCTATGGTATTATTCATATCTATAGTCGACGGTTACTATTTTTATTTATTAAACTAAACTAAACTAAACTAAATATAAACATTTAGAATGTGTAAATGGCGGACTTAACACCATATGGCGTTATCTATTAAACGACTGTAAACAGGAATATTAGAGAAATTAACTGACGGTCCAACGTAATGAACAATATTAGATTAAAATAGTAATTAAAAAAGAACATACACATAATACTCATACGAAAAACTTAGATACAAGGGAAACACCAACATCAGACAAAGTCTAAAACATATTCCGATTACTGAATCCAGAGAGATTCTAAATAAAAAGAATTTTCCATAAGATGGGCGGTCAGTTTGTTTGTTATTTCATAATTCATGAAAAACACGGTAATGGCTTAGCATGTTTTTTTAATTGATATCGATCTTTGTGACTGTCATTTTATTACACAAATCTAAGCACCGGATCAGACCGAAAATCCAAAGAATGGAGAATCAAACTCAATTTTTTACTATGGAAATTTCAGACTAAAACTATAAACTATTAGCATTCTTTTAAATTTTGAATTTTTTACACTTGTAAAACACTTTTCTTAAAGGAATATAGATCGATCGAAAAAATTTGAATCTCCATATTAACTTGACAAATTACTAAATGACAATTACTAAATGACAAAAAGTTAGCCTACTAATGCCCCGTACGAAAGTTTCAAAATTTTTTGTTGCTAATTAATCCATTGATCATAGGAACTGACTAAGAGAACTTATGACTGAGGGATGGGCAGCAACATCCCTTTTAAACCTCACCAAAAGCCAAACTGCAGTTCCCAAGCAATTACTGACAAAAACGCCCTTATGGAGGAAGCTATGTTCAGCATTGGACAGTTAATGGCTAATACAACAATTGATCCATATTTCTTTGGAACAAAACATTTACTTACACTTATAGACGAATACTAATTAAGAGCAAAACTAAACTTTTTCTTACGTACTCACGTTAATTTCTCATTTCACTTGCACAACACTCCATTACAAGGATGGCGATGACGTTAAATTTTACTCCATACAGCGTCAAACTAGTTGGAGCATTAGAATAGAGGGCGAAATATTTTAAATGTAGCAAGTATATTTGATTTCATAAACTGGCACCACTGAGAAGAAAGCAGAACTGGTTCAACTGAACCCACGATTTTATTTAAATACTTTGAGCAACGTTGATGCATTTGCATGAAGTAACACTAATTTCCTCTCCTTTCCAAATTATTATCTTTCGTTCCACAAAATACTTCCACTAATAGGGTTTAATTTAATATCACGAAACCGGCATAAAGTCAAACACACAATATCAATTTAACACATTAAATTGGCAAAGTTCGAGCCGATGCGATGTGGTTCCAACAAGAAATTTCTGAAACAAATTATTAGCTTTTGTTGAGAAGTAAAACCGATCATAAATTACGAATCCAGTATCCAATCCGTGAACTTAAACAGGATTTATTAAGTAAGTAGGTAATTTAATGAAATTATGCCCGGGGCGAACTGTTTTGTACCTAAAGCCTAAACGTGGAACATTTTGTTCACGGTCAAAAGTTCTCTTTATGTTTGCCTCAACGTCCCACGCTTTTGAGTTCAACAAGAGACAATCTTTAGTGTTAATTTTAATTCGGCCACAATAATAATCACTGATATTGCATGCAACGGTACACACGAGTATTCCAAGATCATGTTTTCTACTAAGATCTTCACAAAAAAATTCGTCAGCATTATATCCAATATATATATATATATATATATGAAAAACTTTAAAGACTGCTACCATTCAAAATGTTTATATAGAACCGAAATTTTAAAACGACAAAACGTATGCCTAGTTAATGAAATAAAAAATGAAGGAAATTATATAATGTGGTGAATTATTTTTAGATTATAGATTTTTAGATTAATCAGTAATGTATATTTAACAAACGTAAAGTATGCCAGTTCATATATACCTATATATTAAAAATAAAATTATGTATATGCATTAGTAAAACAAAGAGATTTTGTATTGCTTTAAAGTTCATCGAAGGATCATTGAATTTATTTCGCAACATACTTTAATGTTCGCATAATATGGAAATTATTTTCCTGCAACTGTTACATTTGTAATTTTGAAAATGTAAGAGTAAAAATCATAAAAAATTACAGTGTAATAATAATTATGATAAAAGTTGATCTAAATAAAGACGTTTCTATTCAAAACTTGTACAACTGTTTGCCATTAAAAATTAAGTGTTCAAATTTTTTATCCCAAAAGTAATATAATTGGAAAAGATACCGAAGGAGAACAAAAGAATAATAATGAGACACATAAGCACCTGAAAATTAGCCGTTCCCAGTCCTCACCTAAAGATATTAGCAGGAAAGTTGTGGAAAAAATGAAGTTTACCAACAAAACCGAGCGAGGTAATGGGGCATACGAAAAGGGATATTCTTTTACAAGTTTCGTTTGCGGGGCTTGATAAAACTTTTTTTTTTATATTTTCCGTCCAGTCTTCGAATCCATAACGCTAGATGGCATGTTAGGGTTATAAGGAAACGACGTGCTAACACCTTATACGGGCCAGAGGTCCTATAATGTGGGGAGAGTTTAATGGATTGACGAAATAGGGTTGGCCGTTACGTGTTCCACAATTTAAATATGATTGTTCATAGATAAAGTGTTCGATTGATTTTTGTCTGTAAACTCAGTAGTGTATTAAAAAAAAAAAACATTAAAAAATTGTTTCATTTTTGTAACACTAGTATTATATTCTAAATTTTTTTCTTTCTTTTATAAAAATGAATTCTCATTTCCGCCAAGTATTAATAATCTGTGTTCTCACATAAAAATCTCTCATATCCTTTACTTTACTTTTTAAATAAACAATATTTTGGGTTAAAAGAAAAGGTTATTTATAACTTTTAATTTCGATTTAACTAGATATATTATGATGTAGGTATATATTGTAATGTCATTAGAAATACTGTTTATATTTTAAAAAACTTGTAACAAGTTAATATAACATAATTAAAAGTATTATACGAGTATATATATATATATTTATTTATTTTTATATAAAATATAAAAATAAATACTTAAAAAGACTGCTCGAAGCAATAAGGTTGTCTTATTTTATTTTTTTCATTATCTATTTTGTAAAATATAAATAAAGTATTTTATTTCGTTCTTTTATAATTTATATATTAATACGATAAAATATATTTGTGATAACTATGTTTTATATTTATTTATTATTAACTTTAAATTTACCTTTAGTAATATGGATGAAATCATATTACGCCGACCCCAAATAATAATTGAAATAAAGGGAAGGATCATCTGATTATTTATTATTACTTACAATCTAATAATTTATATTTATGTACAATAGTAATAATTTATAAATTCATATTAATTGCTATAACAAAAATAGTTTTGATTTATTATACAATTAGTTATTGTTGTAGTTATACTAAATTTATATTTCGAAACAAAAATAAAATCTAATAAATACATTCTCTATTAAATTTTTAATAATTAAGACTGTATCATTTACTATAATAATTTTTCCTAATAACAATTTTTTTAATTCTGGAACTTTGAATAGAAATATAGATTGTTGTGTAATAAATGTAAAGGTATTTTTTTTTAATGTTTACATCTTGACACCTGATTTATCAAAAATCATGAAATGACATATGCCAATAGACCAAATACTCTAGTATTTTGTCTGAAGAAAGACATTTTTATCTCAGTCAATCAAGTTATCATTGTCACGCAAAATAAGTTGAGAGCACTATTCGTAATTTTATAAAACTTTACACACTTTAAAAGTAGCATGTATTAATAAGTAGTGTAAAAGGAAAACAAAAAAAGAAACAAAACAATATTTTATTCAATTCCATTTTATTTAAACGAATTGAAATATTTCGATTACAAAACAAAATGCGAGTAGAATTGTCAAACTTAACAATTGGGTCTCAATATCTTAAGTTGTCTTTTAAACAAACGTTAAATAGTCCTCAATCAAAACAAACTAATGTAAACACGCACGGTAAACAATATAAACAATGGGAAGACCGCCACATTTCATGTTCACCAGTGAGGCACGTTATAAATCCTTCAACAAACTGACAAAACTCAGCAAACTTTAATCTGAAAATAAAAAAAAAAATAACATAAAAAAGAACGACAGAAAAAAAAAAAACAAAAAGTAAGTACAAAACAAAAAGAAAAAGTCACTTTTCGTATGTTTAAATGCCAATTTGTTTACTTACAATAACAGGCGGTGGATATTCAACTTTTGCTGAACGCAATATATCTACGAGATGAACCATATGGACAGATAAATTAGTCCCAGTTTAAATTAAACTTCGAGTGAGGCTCTATTGACGGGAGGGAGCGGACGCGGTGTTCGTACGTCACTTGTATCGCGTCGCGGCACGTCTCACTCGCGCGAAGGTCGAATGGCGACTGAGGACGGGCGGGCGAGGGTATACGCACGCGGGGAGGTACGCACTCACGCAGGCTTGACAGCCAATCGCGTGCGTGCGCCGCGCGCACCCCCGCGCCCCTGTGCCCGCCCCGCGCCCTCCCGTCACCTCACAATCGATGCCCTATATTGCATTAATTATTTAGGGAACACGCAATAAGATAACGCAAGGTGGCAGATAACGGATCTACGTAAGTTTAAATAAATCATAGACAGCTTTTCAGTTCGGTGGTGCGTATGGACGCGCGCGCTCTAGTAGCTACACGTGTCAAAGGATGTTACTACACTTGAATGATTATACGAGATGTTTTTTTATTAATAGCAACTAAAGTTTGTTGTACACACACACACACACACACACACACACACACACACACACACACACACACAGTTACAGTTACAATATTTTTAAATTTAGAAGACGTCTAGGTAATAATTACTGTTCTATAATATGGTATAAATTTATTAGATTTTTTTTTAATAATTTTTCAACAGCGTCGTATTGTATGTTTGCGGTTTACGACTCAGAAGGTCGTAAGTTCGAATTGGATAAAAAATGAATTTTGTGTCAATTTTTATTATATTTATTTAATTTAATCTATATACTTTAAGAACGTTACATTGAATGACTAAGTACCCTCTTCACTATTATAGTCGTAAACATATATATATATATACATATATATATATATATATATATATATATATAAATATATATATATATATAAATATATATATATATATATATATATATTTTATTATATTTAATAAATAAATAGTATATATTTAATAAAATAACCTTTATTTACTGTTTTTTTTTTATTAAAGAGAGCAACAGTTATCTGCTAACACGACCCTGTCCCATTCGGGCCGCCGAACAGCTGTTTCGATGGAATATGGCACTGAATTTACTAGTACAAACGGAAGAATGACACCATAGTCTTTGCAGAAATTGTAATGCTTGAATGGCGTCACAGTATATTTTATGATGTTGACGTTTATAGACAATGATTATTAATCGCTTCTTACTATTGCAATTTGTAAAAAGTGTTGATATTTGTGATTATTTTATGTTTATTTTTGCAAAAAAAAAGTAAGTTTGTTTTTTTGTTACATTATAGTTTAATTTTTTTTACAACACAGGGGGCAAACAAGCATGCGGCTCACCTGATGGTAAGTGACTACCGCCGCCCATGATCACCCACAACACCAGCGGCATTGCAGGTGTGCTGCCGGCCTTTTATAAAGGAATATACTCTTTTCTTGAAGGTTATGTTGTCGTATCGGTTCGGAAATACTGCTGCTAGAAGTTGATTCCAAAGAATGGTTGTGCGTGGAAGAAAATGCCTTGAAAAACACACTACGATGTTTTTTTAATGGATGATAATGAAAGGGTAGCCCAGTGAGGGGTGATAAGTGAGAATGAGAAGGTAGGTCAGTTAGCCTATTGTTATGAATACACCTGGCATTTAGCACGATGGTTTTCAGGGTGGACCACGTGGAGGTCTACCTGATATATATATATATATATATATATATATATATATATATATATATATATATATATATATATATATATTATATATTTGATATAGTAATATATGTTAAATGTAATTGAAGAGTAAAGAAAATAATTTACAATTCAAACAGAGAAACCTGTAAGGTTAAATTCAAAAGAAAAGTGTAATGCCTATCTCTACTTATCCTGCAAAAGATATAGCGTGAAGATAGATAAATAGTAACCCATAAATAAAAACGGTAATAGTCAACAAATGCCACTGCAAATCCCATTGGGAATTCAGTCATGGATGTGTTTATGTGTATTTTTTTTTCAAACAAAAAACTAGTGGAATATTTTCACAGATAACGCGTCCTACTGTCTGATGGATATGAATTGTTGGAGGTGATACGTTCCTTCGATGTATCCCATTTTTGCACATGTGATACATATATTCTAGTTTTTACATGAGAATAAATATTCAGGTGGAAGTGACACTCGCATAAATTCAATAAATATAAATATATATTGTAAATATATACTTAGGGTTAAGGAAAAAAGACAAATTATAAAAACTATTGATGGTATTTATATATGTATATATATTTATAATAATTGATTACGATCGATGTAAACGTAACGTTTGAAGGATATGTATGTATGTATTGATGTAAACGTATTATGATTCTTGCTGGTCGCAATATATATATATATATATATATATATATATATTGTAACTAAAATATATAGATATTACTATATAATATTATCCACCTTACTTAATACGAGTAGGACATGAGTTGGACGCGAGTCGTCAGTGCGTAAACACAGTTATTATCTAGAATTCACTGGGAACGCCTCTTCTACCCAGTTTATTCATTTCTTTACGATCTTACCACCGGATTCTTCGTCGACTGCACCACTAACTTAGTTCTCGGTGGAATCGTGATCGAATCGTAATCGAATCGAGTCGAGTAAATAAGTTCGGCTCGCCAACAGCCAGTGCACAGTACATATTTTATTCATGAATTGATCAAATGAAAACGAAATGTGATCGAGTTTCAAATCTAACTTGTCCCTAATTGAGGCACCGTAAAATATTTATTACGGACGTTCCGTTTATTATGGGACTGTTTGGAAATGAAGATTCAATTAGGCGCTTATTAAGAATTTTTTGAAGTTTAAATTAATTTTAGGCAATCGCTCGTAGGTATTACTTGCTGTTTTTTATGGGAGCATAGCTCACGTAAGTTACTATTTGACATTTTTTCAATACTGACAATTCCAAAAAAGTTCAGGTCAAACAATAGAAGTTCTTTTAAACACCATGGTATAATCCTGCCGTGCAGAAGATTTACTTTTTTTGTGACAAATCGTCATAGTCGTAGAATACTGACGGATGTGACAAATATTACATATAAAGATCCGTCAGTATTCTACGACTATGACGAAATGTTATCATCCATACAACATCATGTCCACTGTTGAATATAGACCTCCCCTATAGATTGCCATAAGGAACGGACCTGAGCCACCTGCATTCATTGATTTCCTGCAATGCATTTGAGATTGTCATTCCATCTTGCGTGGGATCGTCATACACTGCGTTTGCCTGTATAAGATCACCAGTCAAGAATCTTTGTTCCACATCGGTTCCCCATCCATTATTTCAATATATATCAAGTACAGTTGATAAGTTGTAAAGGATTCTATTTAGAAAATGACTGATAGTGTTATGGTACATATTACCATTATCTCAACCATCTATCCACTGCTGAACATAAGCCTCTCTCATAGACTGCCATAAGGTACATATTTTATGGTACATATACATATTAAAAATCCAATGAAAAAGTTTTTGTAATTCAAAATGTAATCTAAATAACAAATCTAACTTGTCCTTCTAATGTGAGGGTGATCATGGGCGTAAAATATTTATTGATCGGACGTTCCGTTTTTTACAACTTAGAATGGCAAATAAGCTGTTTGGAAATGAAGATTCATAGATATAAGTACCATGGACATAAGAATTTTTTGAAGTTTAAATCAGGACTCAGGTGTTATTCCACTGTACAAATTCACTACGATATCCTATTCAAACCGAAACACAGTTTTTTTGAAACACGAATGAGAGCATAAGCTCGACTTTTGTACAAAGTTACTATTTGCCATTTTTATGAAAAAAAATAAACCAAACTCCAACTATATATAGTAATAATAATAATTTGTTTGCTCGAAATGTGGTACAAATGATCTTAAATGATAACGAGCTACACATTTCGCCTTATCTAAAGGCATGCAAATTTTGCCTCAGCACTTGCTAGTTACTTTTTCGTGGCTTACATATATTAATAGTCTAATAGGAGTCAATCCATAAATATTGGCAGTCGCACATATCGTCATAGTCGTAGAATACTGACGGATCTGACAAAGATTACATATAAAGATCCGTCAGTATTCTACGACTATGACGATATACTAATGGTAACGGAACTAAACAAATCCATAATAAGTTAAAAAATATTATAAATGGTATACAATATAACTGAATTATAAGTATTTATACAATTAGATACATACATTTCATTATTTTAAAAAGGTCATTTATTGAAAAAAAAAGAATGTATTCCAGTAAAAATTTTTTTAATTGTAGTAAAAAAAAATTCAACGTAAATTTATTCCTAACGCATTCTACTAAGAGCTTAAATTCACTTGATACAGAGTGCGACTCTAAATATAAACTAGGGGTCCCTATAATGTTTGTAACGCATAACACGTGTCACGTGGTCACACATGAGAGATCGGCTGCACTGAATTTTGATGCTGGATATTAAGCTAAACAGTACATTAATTCTAAATCATTGTTCACTAAAGTTACTTATGTACATATTAATTCTCCTACTAATATTATAAACGTGAATTATATATATATATATTTATTTTTTTTTTTCTTTTTTTTATACCTAGAACTTAGAATGGCAAACAAGCTGACGGCCCACCTGATTTAAAGTGATAACCGTCGCCTATAGACATGAGCAGTACCATGAACATAATAGAGTGTACTGTTTCGCCCATGATACCCCCAATGCGTTGCCATTCCTGAGGACTCAGGTGTTATTCCTCTGTACCCAGTAAATTCACGCCATATCCCACCCTTCAAACTGAAACATAGCCATGCAAACACAACTGCTTCACGGTTGAAACACGAATGGGACAGAGGTACGACTTTTGTACAAAGTCTCCCTCTGGTGAACATCAAGTCAACAGACAGCATTTTTATTTACAATTTAATATGATTAATAAATAATGATATATAACAACAAGAACTAGCATATTTTATAAACAGCCTGTAAAAATTGTTAGATGTTCACTTGTTTGTATATTTTGGTGCTCAATACTACTTAAACGGCTGAATGGATTCGAATGAAATTTGGCACACGTATAGGTTATATACTAATTTAACATATACATGTATATATTAAACTGTGTATATTAATGTACGCGGGTAAACTCGTGAGTAAACTTGCGTATTTATATAGTTAATTCAAATATGTTCAGCAATCATCGACAATCAGCGACATCTAGGCCAAAAGACAAATTTGTAGTACAAAGATATGCAGGGATGAGGACCATTGGATTATAAAATAACCTATAAAAAAAGTCATAGATGATGTGGAAAGATGACCTGGTAATAAAAAAAAGGTAATTGTTAT